TCAGCTGGGCTGGTAAAAGGCAGGGCTGTGGACACACCTTTCTCTTGTTGCTACCCCCACCCTCAGAAACCCTCTGTGACTCTTCCATGCTCTATGATGCAGGCCTGGGCCTATCGTTGAGACTGGGCACCCACAACACTCAGTTACCTTCGGAAGTCATGCTATTCAAAGCATGGAGAATATCCTCTGTTTTCTAAACAGCTGTACTGACACAGGGCTGAGCCCTGACTCACCTTGCTTGGATGGATATTGACCACAACTGCATCTACTTGAGTGGGTTGGGGTTGTTTATGCTGTACTTTTTCTATGTGGTATCGATGCTGTGTTTGTCAACCCGTGGGAAAAATCATGACATCCAAAAGGTAAGGGACTGTGGGTGAACACCCAAGAGAGATGCCCTGTTGTTGTTTCCCAATCCTATTCCCACATTTTTAAATAAGTTTGGTTGGTTCAGAGAGGTCTTAGATGGGAAGTCTGAAGAGAGGATAGAGCTTCACTCTTCTATGGAAGAGGTTGGGCAGACTTAGGGGTTCAGGAGGACTAAGGTTTCCATCTATAGCTCATAGACTACCTGTCTGGCTGTGGTGGAGAGTTCTGGGATAAAATCCCAAACACTGTAATTCTGTGGTCCCAGATGGGATTATTTAGAAAATGTGGGCTCTCTGAAAGAGAACAGTTTCTCCTAAAGTTTGATCATGAGTCACATTCCCATGTCACCTGTCACTTGACCAAATTTTCCTTCGTGTTGGGCTGATCAGGGGAGTAATGCTGAGAGTCTCTGAGCAGAGGCTGCAGCCAGAGTTCTGTCTGTGGGACACTTGTCCTGTGAGGGAGCACAGATGTGACTGTTGGCCTCTGAGTCTGTGCCCTCCTTGAGGACTGCTAACTGAGCACATCAAGTGTGGCTCTCATAGACAAAATCCTCTTGAGTTTTTCACAGAAGGAAAAATTAGAAATATTTTATCACCTTCAAAAACTGATAACAGGAACACTTTTCTATTAATTACAGAGTCATCTTATTCTTGTATAATGAATGAACGTGCTTCCTAGAGGAGTGAGAGAAGTGAGTCCCAGCCTGTCATTATCTTTCTCTTTTCTCAGCATCAAGGAGAGCCAGGAGGAGAAGGAAAGGTGGGACATTTAAAGGTAATGCCAGCCTGCTCTATCTGAGCTTCAAGGGTGACCCTTCCTGTCTCCTTCATGATGAGTCAGTCCCATGATTTCTTAGAATGTCAGTTACTAGATACAGTCTTAGAAAACAGAACCCTCAGAAGACAGGCTGATGGGAAAGCAATCAGACCTGAGACACTTCTTGGAGTTCCTGCTCTGCTCCTTCATGGGCATGATGGAGTGATGGACCTGAGTAATGGGTGTTGCCCAATAGGTGGCCAAGTTAGATATCGAGGAAGTACTACTGGTTGGCTTGGAGTCAGAGTTTCTGTCTCACAACTTTGCATAAGTACTTTGACTTCCTTAATGCTCAAATTCCTCCTGGAGGTAACCACTGATATCTGTGTTTCACATGGTGGTTTTGAGCATCACATGGGGTAATGTATATGAAAGGACTTTACTAATGATGCCCACTGAACCTGTGAATATTATCAATGACTATTTGCCCTTTTGTACTGATTCTTGGGGCTATCAGAGTTTAAAATCCCAAGGGTCTTCCACAGAGTGACTTCTGTATGAGCCCTGTGCCTCTACCTTCATTGCATATAACATACTGTTTTCCCAGACCGGAAAAGTTTCCAGAGGGAAGCAGAAGAGGAAAGGAAGCTGCTTTCTATTCTGAAAAGGTGATTAATCGTTCCCCTTCTGTCCTATTCCCCTACCCTCCTTGTTTTTCTTTTTGCATGTTCTATTCATTTCAGGGATTCCTTGTAGCCTGCTGTAGCTGTGCAAGTGGGTCCCCACAGGAATGGGTATGTGAATTGAATGCATTGGGGAGAGGCTACAGAATACATAGCGAGGTCATGGGCGGGGGGCAATGTGAAGCTGGTAGCAGGATTCAGGGGGCTCCACCCCTGCCAGGCTAACAGACCCACCTTTCCTTGTTCTGGTTCTGGCTGCAGCTTTGGACCTCCTGCTTCCTGCAGTCCCCTGGACCAGCATCATGATACCATCCGCTTTCGTCGACTATTATGCCCAGATCCTGTCTGTCAGGTGTGTAACAGAGCAACTGCTGATATCCAGCGACTGCTGTCTCGGGAGTCCCTGAAAGATGCTGCTCCCTCGGTATCCCCTTTGGCTTCTGCAGCTTCTGTGACTGAGTCATCATTCACTCTGTCTTCTGCCCCTCAGCAATTCCTCCAGAAGACCTAATATTGTCTCCTCAGCCTAAGCCCTCTCTACCATCCTCCTTAATTCTCTCACATGACCCGATCACCCCCTTAGCTGACTTATTTTCACCCTCACCTCTGAGGCACCCTCTGCCACCACAGCCTGTTTCTCCCCTGGATTCCAAGATTCTCTTGGACCATTCCCCACCCCAACAGCTTCCCTCTCCCCTTCTCCCACCACATCACATTCAGAGAGTGGAGCCCAATCTTCATCCCGAGGCCAGTTTGTCTCTGAACACCATCTTTTCATTTGGCTCCACCCTATCCCAAGATATGCACCCCTTACCAAATGTTTCCCAGGCCATGAATCCAACTGATTCATGTGCTTGTCATCATGAACCACCAACCCCAACTGCTTTACCACTGCAGGACTGCACTGCAACTCAGTCTAAAGCAAGTCCCACAATATTGAAGCCTTTTCCAGAGACGTTATCTCTAGGTAGCTCTGGTGGGACAGAATATGCCCCAACAATCAGAGGCGTTGACCATTCATGCCCTGCATCTTCAGAATTCTACTGGTGGCAGCCTCATGGAAGGACTTGTTTCCCTCCACTATTGCACCATCTGATTTCGTACAAGAGCTTCTTACCCTTCACTATTCTGATGCCACTATAGGGGGGCACTCTGTGGCCAACCTCATACAGCCTATTAACCTATCATTTCTCAGCCATGACATTCTGGAACTCCTGGAGAGACAAGTCAAAAAAAGGGGTGATTTCCTGATGTGGAAAGAAAATGAAAACAAAGCAGGATCTTTTCCAAAACCCTGTAGACCGAACTGTCAACTAAATTCTTCACGGAAAATGTTAGCCTCAATTGCAGATAAGCAAGACTTGGCAGCCTCACTTCCTTTTTGGGCCAGTAAAGACAAACTAGAACAGCTGCACATCCACCAGCAGCCCCCATGTTCTAAGTGCGTTGAGGACCATTTAGAGCAAAAATATGTGCAGCTCTTCTGGGGTCTCCCACTTCTGCACAGTGAGTCTCTGCACCCTACTGTTCTTGTCCAACATGGCCGTTCCTCCATGTTTGTATTCTTGAATGGCATTACAAATACATCTATATCCCAAGAATCTCCAGTACTTCCCCCTCCCCAACCTCTATCCTTGCCTAGTACCCAACTTCTACCCTTGCCTCAAACCCTGCTCTGCGGTCAGTCCCCACATCACACTCAGGTCCAGTCCAGGGCTCAACATCAATCTCCACTCCTGGCCCTACTACCTAGTCCTCTATTCCTGATTAGGATCTGTAGAGTGTGTTTTCATAGACCCCAGAATGAGGCACAGTCTCTTATGCCATCTGAAATTAGCCATCTGGAGTGGAATGTGTTGCAGAAAGTCCAGGAAGGTGTGTGGGGTTTACCCTCTGTGGTTAAAAAATCCCAGGAAGACATTTGTCCTCCAGCTCCCTTTCTTGCATTGTTCAGCCAGCCCTTTAAGGCCCATGTTCCCATATCCATTATTCCTGGATATTTTCCATTCAGCTGTGAGCTAAGGAAGAAACCAGAGCACCAACTTCGAAAAAGACTCATCCAGAGCAATTGGGGCCTGCCTCGCATAATCCATGAGTCTCTGTCAATGCTGCATCCTCAGAAAAAAATTTTGGAGATATCTGAGTTAGAAAACAATCATGGACCCTTACATAGCTCTTTGGTTGAGAGTCAGGGCTGCAATGTTCTAAAGAAATTCGGATCAAGCATCCCTAGAACCTTCCACGAGAGGAGCTCAAATATGCTTTCCCTGGAGAATGTGGGGGAATTATCGGGGATACAGACAGGAGAATGGCCCAAAAGATCATCTGTTGCATGATCCAGAGACATCTTCAGATGAGGATCCGAGGTCTAACTCTGAGAGAGACCTGGACACTCATATGATGCATCTGTCAGGGAATCATTCAGGGGAGAGCCTAGGTCAGAAACAACTTGAAAATGCCCTGACAGTACATTTGAGCAAGAAATTTGAGGAAATCAATGAGGGTCGAATGCCTGGGACTGTGCATAGTTCATGGCATTCAGTCAAGCAGACAATGTCTCTTGCTGAGGAATCCCACAGCCAAATAAAACATCGAAATATGGCAGCATTGCTGGGTGAGGACCACCGTGTTGATACTTCTCAGGAGATTTTATTCCTTAGTTCCAACAATCAAAAGATGTTGGAAGCCCATATTAAATCTTTCCATATGAGGATTCTGTGGGGCCTTCCCCGCAAAGTCCATGAATCCATAGAAATATTTAACTTTGAAAGAGGACCTTTCCAATTCCTTTTCCCATTTCGACCTTCCCTCCTCAGTCTCCTCCATTTCTGGTGTAGATTCCAAAAATGGGGTCTCCAATCCCCCTTAGAAGAAGGTTTTCAAGGAGAAAAGTTGGGAACAACAAGCTCAGTTCCAGTCCTGGATTGTCCTCACCCTGTCACCTCACCTGTCAGCAAAGAAAGCAGAGGACCCTGAGAAGACAATTTTCTGATACTGACCATGACCTTATGGAGACAGATTCCAAAGATGGGGCCTCCACACCCCTTAGAAGAAGCACTACAGATTTTCAGGGAGAAAAGTTAGAAATAAGAAGCTCATTCCCCATCCTGGGTCATCCTCACTGCATCATCTCACCTGTCGACAAAGAAAGGCAGGGAGCCCTGGGAAGAGAATTCTCTGATACTGACCATGAGCTTACAGAAAGTTCAGACAGTTGAGGATGGCAGACAGACTTTTCTGCCCCCACCACACAGCATCATAGGCAAAATCAGTCAGAAACAGACTGTACTAGCCAGTACCTGCAGCCAAAAGCTGACGATAAGGCAAGCTAGGGCTCGCTGTAAGTGAAGGCTTAAGAGAGAGAGTTCCAGTAATAATGTAGAAAGGCTTCAGGGCAGTAGAAAGACATTTTCTGTCACCAATGGGTCTAAAGAAATGTTCAAGGCAGAGGAGCTCTGTGCTCTTCAAACACCATCTAAAACTACTTGATAACCAGCAAGTCAGGAAGCTGCTCAGTGATAAATACATAAATAAGCACTTCTACAACTGAAAGTTTCCCACCAAGAATATCAGTTTCCCGAGATCCTATGTCATCATACCTTAAAATCAGATGTTGAGTGAGTTAAAGTTTAAATTGGCCCAGAGGGAGCATAGCCAAGTTCAAAGCCGTTTCACTGACATGTCCCTTGCGTTAGATAACTTGGTTTCCAAGGACTTACTGACTCATGCTCAGGGCATCTACAGTGAGAATATGTCAACTTTCCAGGTGGTGCATGTCCACTTGGAGGACACAGGGATACGTGAGGAACAGTAGCAGGAGCCCACGGTACCTAAGCATGTCTTACAGAATGTCCAGATAAGAATTTCCCATGCGTGGCTGGGCACAGTGACTCATGCCTGTAATTCCAGCATTTTGAGAGGCTGAAGCATGTGAATCACGAGGTCAGGAGTTTGAGACCGGCCTGGCCAGCATGGTGAAACCCCCTCTGTACTAAAAGTACGAAAAAAATTAGCCAGGCATGGTGGCGCATGCCTGTAGTCCCAGCTACTCCAGAAGCTGAGGCAGGAGAATTGCTTGAACCCAGCAGGTGGAGGTTTCAGTGAGCTGAGATCACGCCACTGCACTCCAGCCTGGGTGACAGAGTGAGACTCTGCCT